AGTCCAAAAACCAAGGAAAACATAAGTGAAACCAGAAAAATTTTGCCTCCTTTCTTTCTTCCCGGCTTCCTGCTCTCTCCTTCTTTCTTTCGTCTGCCTTCAGCACAAAACCAGAAAAATAGACAAAAACAAACCAGAAAAATAGACAAAAAAATACGGTACCCGCTGAAATTCAAGGCGCTCGAGCCGACATCTATCGGTCGAACGCCCGTGCTTGTTCCTTCGCACATGGGTGTGCTACACAACAAGCACGAAGCTAACGACAACGACGTGTTAGCCACAACTTCCTACGACGGTGCAGTGGTCCTCTTTTTGGTCGAAGCGCAGATTGCGCCCGGCCGGGCACACCGCCCGAAAACCCGGTGCCGGTGCTGCGGTGCGCATTTCTGCGCCCGCCCAGCGCACCCACGCTCCACCAGGCGCCGGCACCTACCAAACCGCTGCTACGTCCAACAGCCTCTCAGGAGCGGCGTGGCGATGTCATGATCTCGTCCACGGGCGCGCGAACGCACGTCCAGCCGTCACGCCTTGCCCTGCAGTCGTTCCCTATAGAGACGGCATCGGAGATGCGGCGCAGAACCATGAGAGCCGCGCGCAGTCGTCGGAGCGTGCCGCCGTGTTCGCCGCCCTGGAGTAGAGCGGCTTGATGGTCGCCCGGCCCGTGCCAAAGGTGGCGTGAGACAAGAAGGTGAGGCGACCGGGTGAAAGGCGGTCCGAATCGAGGGCCTCGTCCAGCTGCGCGATGATCTTCGCCTGGCACTTGGGGCCAGGTCCATCTCCATGTTCTCGTAGAGGCAGGTGAAGCGGCTGTCGGGGACGAGGGCGCGAAGCTGATCTGGAACAGCCTGCCGCGCTACCCTTGAATGCCCTGCCCCCTGGGCGACTCGGGAGAAGTCCTGGCAGGGGGGAACGGCGCACCAGACGATCCGCGGTTCAGTTCGGGTTCGCCTCCTTGTCGTCCGGCGAGTCCCGGCAAATGCCCGATGCTCCTGCTGCACCAGCACCTTGCAGTCCCAGGCCTTCTTCTTGTCGGCGCCGGCGACCAGGCTGCCGCGCATTAGTTGGAGCGAACGGGAAATGGTTTTTGGGCTTGGCGTTGAAGAGCTTGTCGATTTTGGCTGACCAGCCGACCAAGCTTCGCACTAGGTCGTGGCCTCCAGGTACATGTGGGAGTGGGAGCACCGCCCTCGTCGGGCGATGGAGAAGTGGTGCCGCGGATTCGGCCCGACGAGGGCCAGGGTGGCCGTCCGAGCCAGACCTCTGCATTTGAGTACCGGACAGCGATGTCGCCCACCCCCACCTCGGTCGAGAGGGCGTCGAAGGCGGTCAAGGACGCCGAAGACGGTGCCGGCGCAGCCATGACTGTCGAGAAGCTTCGGGCGGAGAAAAATAGTGATGTGCTAAAGAAGACCCAGTCCGAGAAAACCGGCTTCCATCCGCCGCCGACAGGGGCGACACGGTGTGTGCATAAAGACCGCCCCCTCGGGGGCCCCGCGCCCCGGCGTCACTCGAGGTCGTCCCCCTCCTCGTTGTGGGCCCGGCTAAGCATAACCCGACGAAGCAGACGACGCACCAGCGCCCACAGACTGCGATGCCCTCGTCGGTGGGCGCAGCGCATGAGTGGCAGGCCGTGGCTCCACGATGGCCGCCGGCATGATCGGGTAGGCGACGGTGGGGTCCTCGTCCAAGTCTGTTGTGTGACGGGCGCCCAGGCCGGTGCCAGGCGCGGGGGCCCGGTGGCCGGAGTCTTCGCTCAACCACTCGATGTGCTGCCTGGTGTGGCACCAGTCAAAGCGTGCGACCGCCTGGGCAGCGGAGTCGGGTGCCCGAGCCAGGCATGACGTAGCCCCACACCCAAAACACGCGATGCACCGGGCGAGGAACTCTCCCTCGTCAGCTCATCCAAACTCCGGCACCGAGTCGATGCGGCGAATGACGGACAGAAGGGCCTCCAGACGGACTGCCCGTCCGGGAAGCAGATGGCCGCCAGGCTCTAAGTCCAGGCCGTCTAGCCGTCTATGTGCCGCACCATCGCGAGGAGAAAGGCCTGGCAGGGAAGGGGGCGAGCGGCTAAAGGAGCGGGGGGAGGTGGTTGGAGCAGCTTCATCTGGCTGTGCCTACCGGCGGCCCAGAGCCCTTTACCCTGCGGCTCAGGTCACGCCTGGCTCGGAGGCGGAGTGAGACCTGGCGGAGATCTCCTCAAAATGCCCGTCGGTCTAGTCGAACCTGTTCCCGGACGACCGGGCTGGCACCTGTCGCACTCGCTCGTCCATTGATCGGCGGAAAGCAGATGGGTCGTAGGCACCTCGCTCGATAACGGCAGGCTCCCAGATGCCCAGCCGACCCAATCCACCCCTGCGGCTCGGCAGCAGCCGTCGCCAAAGCTGCCAACGAAGAGCCCGGTCCGGCCCCGTAATGGGCCGGCGCCACGTCGATGAGAGCTGGGCGAAGGCCTCGTCCACAGCCGCCCGTCAGGGGACAGCATCCAAGTCAAAGGCGCAGGCCGTGGGACTTGAACATGATACCCGCCAAGTCGACGCCCGCCGAAGCCGCAAAATCGCCCAGTCGGGCACCGACGAGGCGGCAGCGGCGGCAGGCGACGACTGCTGTCCAGAAGAAGCCATGACCCGACGAGAGGCGAGAGGATAGCGGGGAATGCTGAAATTCAGGGCGCTCGAGCCGTTATCTATCGGTCGAACGCCCATGCTTGTTCCTATGCACACAAGTGTGCTACACAAAACAAGCTGAGACGGCTGCGAGGAACCACAGCGAGGAATTCGCTGGCAAGCCGATGTGCCTGGGTGAGACTTGTCTTCTGTAGATGCATTCTGCTTCTCTGCTGCGTCTGTGATTCCTGCTTCGTTTCCGTAACACAGCGTGTTCAGGTCTGCCATCACTGCCTCGAGATAGCTGGACTTGCCATTGACTTTCGCGTGGGGTCTGGGACTTAGCAGGCCACACATCCACAAACAGCAGCCGCTGCTGTAAGGACCTCGGCGATCCAGAGAATTTCCGCACTTTGCAGGCCTGGCGCGCCTATGCTCTGCTTCTCGGTCGCCAGCAAAGAGGAGGAGGCAGCGCACAAGGCCCACACAGATAGCCAAGCTCGCCCCCATGCTTTCAGGACCTCACAAGCGCTAGGCAGAAGCAGCCACGCAATGCACCTCTGAGGCCAAGGCCTCAGCTAAATCCGCATCGAAAGGAGAGCGACAACCGAGCTCTTTTCGAGCTTCTTCGAGCTATACACAAGCGACAAACCACCACCGGAACAAATTTGAGAAGGCAGTTGCCTTGTAGTGAAATCCTGCAGGAGGCTGCTTGAACTTTACGAGTTACGAGGCCTGCAAACTGGAACAGGTGTTCCTCGAGCCATGAGCATGTCAAGGATTTCGTCAAGGCTCGGCTGGCATCAAGGCAGGCAGGCAAAAGCCTTTTCAGCTAAGGACTTCCGACACAGGTTCCACGTTGCACTCAAGTCGCCAGGAACGCCCACCTCACAAGAGTTTCGAGGCCTGGTCCATGTGCAAGACGCACCGACTGGGCACTCGGCATAAATGCCAACAGGATGCTGCCTGCCGGCAGAACTTTCAACGTTGCACAAACCACTTGGGCCCGTCTACATCAGAAGAGACTTCAAAAAGAGGCGTGCCTCAGCTCGTTCAAATACTTCTCTGGAAGGTAGAAACCCCACTCCTCGGTCTGGCATCACTGGGTGCAAAGATGCCGCAAACTTCCATGCGAGCGGCAGATAATCCGTGACGAACCAGCAGTCTTCCGTCCTCACAATGTGCATTGAATCATGCGTCGCTTCTGCCACCGTCTCAAAGTCGCCTCGTCCAACTGCACGCTGTACTTCGCTGCACCGCCTTTGTCTCGGTTGTCCTTCATCTTGCCCTGTCCCCCAGAGTTAGGTGCAGTGATGGATCTCCTGCTGCGGAGAGCCGTCGAAGGCTGTCAGCGCAACAAAGCTTCCCTCAGATACCCACCTGAAACACACACACACACACACACACACGGGTCTTGCGATCGAAAAGCAACAGAAGCCAGGGAGCCGGCCGAGCAGCGGACCAGGTGCCGCCGTGTGCCCCGGCCACGATCTGCAGGTGTCAGAAGTATGTCCGGCCATCGCAGAGACGCACGAGCTCCTCGAGGGAGTTCAAAGGCCCTTGACCTCAGGATGGCTTAGGAGGAGAAAAAAAACAAGTATCCAGAGGACAAAGCTGAGCGCACTCAGGCTTCTGGCCCATTAGGAGATGAGCATCGGATTTGGCAGTCGTTTCCACCTGCTGATCGTTTCCTACCTAGCACGACAAAGACAGCACCAAAAGCTACAAGAGACCTCGAGGTGGAAAGGCGGAGGCAGCGGCTTCATGTTCAGGGTCTTATACAGAACCTTGTGGCCCTCCCGCCTCGGGGAACTCCATGAGCATTGCTGGCATCGGCATCTGCTGAGGCCCCGAGCAGCTCGTTTCGCGCACTGCAGCACATGCCGAAGTCCCTCCTGAAGCAAACCTTCGGATCTGGTCCACTCAATCAAGCGATTGCAAAAAGAAGCCCAGTTGAGCTGCAAACCTCGCCACCGTACAGCTCTACCATCTGGCCCGCTGCCTGTTGGAAATGTATGGGTTCGACACGGCAGAGCACCAAGTGAGCTGCACCAATCAGTGTCTCTCTGCGCGTGCCCCTTGTACATGGCGACTTTGCTCAGCGAAGCGAGACTCCTGCAAGGAACATTTCGTAGAGCGTTGTTCGGCGAGTCTAAGGTCTCCGCTGATCCTTCTGCCAGAGTTGGCGTGTGAGTGTCTCTTGCAGCCTGCATAGGACAGATAAGTTGAAGCAGGATGCTTCAGGCCTCTCTCCATTCGCAGCCAAGCCATGGACTCCTTTTCTTCCCAGTCGCTGAAAGGCGAGTGGTAACCTCGAAACAATATGAAGACAAGGTATTCTTGTGCCAGGGTGGGACTGTGTGTTTCTGTGCACGAACTTGTGCGTGAGACCAGCCCTTGCTGATTGCAACCCTTTCACTTCGAACTTCGAATCTGAATAAAGCAAATTAAAGCAACCGACAACGGGGTCTGTGACGGCGCATTGCCCGTTTAAGCTCCGGCAAGGTTTGCTGGCCCGACGTTCAACCACATGGCTGTGATCAGGTTTCGTGCCATGAGTTTGGAGAACCTTCCATCGTACAACCTTGCTCAGCCTGAGCAGTCTCTTCCGACGTCTGGCCAGGGCGTAATCTCATGGGTCGGGGAAATACGCGACCTCGTGCAGGACCTGCACACCGGTGGCTTCGGCTCTGAGGTGAGCATGGGGCGAAGTGACAGTGTGGGGCTCAACCCGTGATGAACATTACCTTGTCTGTCTCTTCTATCTCTGTCTCTGGCCGTGTTGGTGTGCGTCTCTGAGCGTGTGTGCATGTGTGTGGGCGGGGGGCAGGGGTTTTGCATTGATTTGAGAGACCTGGCCAGCTAAACACCTGTGAATGGCATTCCAAATGTAGCGAAATCCACGCGATAGATGTAACTACTGCCAGTTGGTGTGCATTAACCCCTCCAATCTTCGGAAGAACGTTTGAGTTTCTCACCAAGCCTTCCTCGTTTGGAAACAATCCTCCGACCCTCCGGGCCGGCGTTTCGAGGCCCTTCCTTGAAACTCTCTTTCGTGCTCCAGCCTGTATTAGAATTCATATCTTAATACTGGTAATGCGCCACCTTATCAACATGCACCCACACCTCCTCACACTCTAAACCCTAAACTCCGGTCCTCGCAACTGCAACATTCCTCCCGCAAATGGAGTGCAAGGGCACAATCCGAAACCCTAAGCCCTAGAAGCAACAGACCTGTCACAGTCTGCATTTAGAGTGTCATGTGCACAAAGCACTAATTTGAATGCGAGCTTTCTGTTCTCATTGCACAGACGGATTTCATCGTCCTGTTACTGTGACGCCGGGGCCATACACCAATGGAAGTGCTTGGCTTGCTTCTCCCTTCGGAGGATGTCGCGAAATGCACATCCGACCAGGACATCCGACTGAAACCGGAGTAGATCAAAATTCCTCGAGATCGAGCAGTCGAAGTGTGCGTGCTCTAAAATATCTGTTTCCACCGGTACTTGTACAAGGAGTGCTTCACTACGCCAAGGTCGTCACGAAAGAGGGTGTCGACAAAGGACCATTGCTTCATATCTCCCGGGATGTGCACCTTACTGTCACGGTGGTGCCCCTTTGACTTTTCACAGCCACACAAGACAACGGCCAACGAAGCTCTTTCGCCGCATCGACAGCAGCGGGAAGGGTGCCTGGGATTCTGGGATGATGAACGGAATTCTATCGCAAGCAACGGAGCATTACATAGACTCAGATTGGCCGCACATCTCGTGGATGAACGAAGCCCGCAGTCCCCTCCCACAACACCAGAGCATTGAGGCTTGTAAAGCTGCAGCTGCTTGAGATGTGCCTCCTTCGTGCATTGAGTCAACCGCTGATTGCCCTGACAGCGGTTTGCACTGGTCCGCTGACTGGAACCGATCATGGTGCACGGCCGCGCCTTCAGCAATGACATCGTTCGAAGCCGTTGCCGTGTGTTCCCGGTTGACAGCAGAAAGGACCATCCCTGGGACCAATGGGACCGCCAGCCGCCGAAGGCTCCGCTTCCCAGCTCGAGGCCCATGCGCTCAGAAGGTCCACGGGATCTGGACAGTAGACCTCTCTGAAGGTCTGGACACCCCGACATACACGAACGGAATCCACAGCCTCGAAGTGGCCGGCGCCGACCATCCCCGGATATCGTCGACCTGAGCTTCCGAAATGCCGAGATTTTTCATTCCCAACACATGAAAGCTGAAAGGATCCCGCGCTCGCGCACCTCGCAGACCCGAAGAGTATGCATTGCATGACATGGCTTCACACGATCTTGTGATTCTGATCTGCGGCCTCAGGTAGAACCAGCTCTGGGCTGTTCCAAAACATCCCCCACTCGGTTGCCGGGACCTCCAAGACAGTCTCAACGGCAGGGTTTCTTGGCTTTCTTCTCAACGACTGTCATCTACAGTACTGTCCACGGACGCCTCCTTTCTCACTGTCGCGACTTCGACCCGGAGTCGAAGCCCGCTTTCTGGGCTGGGCTCCCTCAAGGTTCATTAACGTGCGGCTAACGTGCGCGGCCGACACCATCGTCCGGGGCAAGAGGGGCCGGCGTTTTGCCAGAGCTCCTAAGCCCAAAAACTCCGACTGCACAGCGATTGAAAACGTAATGTCTGCAGGGCAGCATCGCCTTCTGCATTGCCCATCTCCGAAAACGGTTCGAAAGGGTCATCGCAGTATTCCATCGATATCAAGTGCTGCTTGGGCTATGGAATGCGCACGTGCCTGGGCTCTAGTATACGGAGACTTGTGCTTCGCATGGCTCAGCCATGCGCCAATTTCAACTACAGGCTGCGCTCGAGAGCAGAGACACAGCGGCTCTCAGCGACCTTCTCACGGCTCTCCACAGACGGAGCCTGCAAAAACTAGGACGAACACATACATGCAGCCAAAGTGGTGAGGCACCTCACATTGCAGGAAGGCCCAGCTGAACAGAGAGGAGTGTAGGCCTGCTGCCTGACCAGCCAGCACTTTCACATGTCTTCGGCTGCTCGTTTAGGAATTGCCGAAGGTGCCTGCCACCAGTCCGACATCCAGTGGGAAGTGCCCGTCTCGGACGATGAGATCCTAAGACGCAAAGACATCCCATGCGCAGCGGGGAAGGCGGCTCCGCCCCACGGGGCCGGTGCCAGTCGCTTCCCAGGCCCGTGGCCAAGATCTCCTTGCCGTCCTCTCAGAACGCTCGAACGAGCGAAAGGCGCGGCGTCTCGGCCCCTCTCCTCGTCCACCACCTGCGAGCCTTTGCGCTTCAAACGGCCATGAGGTCTGCGGTCCAAAGCGAGTCAAAGGCGAAAGACAGGGATGCGATGAAACTTGCAATGCATGCAATAGTGATGCGATGGATGCTGGAGGTGCCTCGGCTCGATCTGTTCGGTTTCGAGCACCTCGGAGGCCTGCGCCGCGTGCCCCCTCGTGCGCTTGGGACGTCGTCACATCCGTTCTTGGGCTTTCGGTCCTGTGCCATGCCACTCTCCGCGATCTCAAGCAGCTTGGACTCGGAACACTCGGCTTGCTTCAGGCCTAGGGCGCCGAGGCGGTTCCCGACAAATGACCCAGAAATATCCAGAAATCTAAGAGCTGCACTTTGCAACACCTCCATCAGCTCCTAACGGCAGCAGGGCATGGCCGCAGGGTTCAATTTCCCCATGCCGGTCCGAGGCCGTCAGCTTCAGTCCTCGAAAGTGGGCTGGGTGAGCAAGCGTGCTTCGTGGAGGTCCAGGAAGGCGATCGCCCTCAGAGCGAAAAAGCCGAGCGCCCTAACCCCAACCCCAACAAAACCCTCCCTGCGACCTGCCCCTCTCCTCAGAGCTTTCCTGATGCGCTCTGACAAGTCTTTTCCTCCTACCTTTGAGAGCCGAACAAGGACAGCAACGCGGCCAGACCGAAGTCTTCCAGAAAGCTCAAGCAATGCCTGAGAGCTCCATGCATTGAACTGGCAATTCGTTCCTGCTGGGGGCCGCTTCCACAGCTCCCTCCATTCTGCGCGCGTCTTGACGGCTGAGGGCCGGTGCAACAACATCATCAGCGGCAGCCAGTTTACAAACATGGACAGCAGTGCCTGTCGCTTCGGACATTGAAAGGTGGTTTGCAGCGGGCGGGTCGGCGGGTCGCGCCTGCGGCAGGAACATGTCGCTGCGGACACCGAGCCTGCGCAGGCTCAGTCTGCACAGCACGGCTAGGCCTCACGAAAGGCCTCACACCACCCGACCTGGCGAAATGCTCGAACCAAGGTTTCTCCCGAGCCAGGACCTGCAACAGCTCTGAGAATGCAAGCTCGGCATGCTCGGCGGCTTCGCGATGCCTCAAAGCCGGCCATGCAGGGCGCAAGCAGTGGGAATCCGGGCCTGAGCCAGGACACTGCAAGTGCGACTCACTTTGTTCTGGCATAAAAAAGACCAAGAGGATGCACGATCGTGTTGCTATCCGCATGAGCACCTGCATCATCAACCAGCCTTTGCGCTGGCTGGACGTTTCTTTCAGTTACGTTGCAGAGTCTGCCCGGCTTCTGCTCAGAAAAGGACAGCATCGCTTCACTAAGAGGGTAGCACCATCTTGGGGAACGGTACAAACCATTACGGAGAAGTCGGGCATGCAACCGTCAAAGGCTCTGGCAAACCCCACATCTTTTCACCAGCCCGGCTACTGGATGTTGCTCCTAAGCACAGCATACCCTTACTTCATGTGTCGCCTGTAGATACAATCCTGGTGCACATTGCATGTGGCAGTGCAAAGGGTGCTCACATCTTACCGCACGGTAGGGTAAGCCCTCTTGATGAATGTGCGAGGTTTGCACATGAAGATACAGGCTCTCGCTCAAGCGTGAGCCATGCCAGAGTGCAAGCATCAGAAATCGATCAGAAGGCCGTTGAAATCATTTGCCAAGACCATCACCACCTGATGCACCTGCGATATGCATGAGGACACAGACAGGCACCAGCAAAGCGTGGATGACAGGGAGCCTTGTGAAAATCGAGCTGTTGGCAGTTCTTTCACCTCACATGCATCATACCAGGATGTGGCAACAAAAACACTACTAGATGTAACTGTTTGGATTCCAAACCGGAAAAGGTCACGCTGTGATGTTCAGGACAAGATGCAAAATCAGGATGGCATCCAGCTCACAACCTGACCTCGGAAATCAAGGAGCTGCTGAGTGGTGAGTTACTCGGGCCATCCTGTTCTGGGTGCCCAGCATCTTCAGAAGGTTGTGGCCTTACCCTTCCAGTACACAGCCATGACGCTGCCTACGATGGCCATCCAGACCACGCTCACGGCAGAAGGCACCCTCACGTTGAAGGCCTCAATGTGCCAAGCCAGCGGCGCTTAGTCAAGCCTCTACAGTACCTCCTAGCACGGCTGTCCCGGCTCTAGCTCTCTGGGTTTCGGGCTCCAAAGTGCAACGAGGCAAGGAGAAAGCCGAAGGCAGAGGACTTCATCGAGGTCTCGATGGCTACTGTACGGCAAGTTCTCTCGTCAAAGCCGCAGATCTGCGTGGCGAAGAAACCCAACAAACCTCCGAAAAGGTGCAGGGCAAGGCATGCCAGCTGCAACGGAATGCCGGCTCCTTTGATGGGTGCTGCACAGCCCGCCACTGAAGCTCCGACAAGCAGTACCGTGGAGATCACGCCGATCACTGGGGTGTATGGTGTCACTGCCTTGCAGAATTTGGGCACGAGGGTGTTGCAGCCGACACCCAAGAAAATGGGTGCCAAAACTACCTGGAAGGTGGAGACCACGATACCCATGGCATCCACAGGCACAACGGCTCCCAAGACGAGTTTGCAGATCAGTGGGGTCATGACGATGCAGCCCAAGGTGGTCGACGTCGTCATGAGGACGCTCAGAGCGACATCACCACCTGCAATCAAGGTGCAAAGGTTCGACGCCTGCCCGCCGTTGATGGATCCCACCAAAACGAGGCCCGCCAGGATGGCGCCCTCCGCACCAATGGCCTTCGCGAGCATGAACGCCAACAAGGGCATGATCCCGTAGCAGGAGATGAAGTTGATCGCAACGGCCCCGGGACGTTTGAGGCACTCCTTGAAGTCATCGATGGTTGTCGTAATGCCAACAGAGAACATGAGCAAGCCGAGCAAGCCCGTGAAGTACTCTGACTTCACCCAAGTGAACGTGGAAGGCTGCTTCAAGGCAGCCACCGCTGCGATCGCCAACCAGATGGCGAAAAGATTGCAGAAGGCGGTGCTCACCTTTTGCATCGTGCTCTCCTCTTCTGTGCTTTCGGCGTCACCCTCTGCTCGGCGACCGAGACCGAAGAAAGAGCGGCCCGACGTGCCAAAGCGCCTCAGAGGAGCCAGCGCCTTGGCCATGCCTAGCACAGCGAAAGGCACCAAAGCAGCACGCTCCGCGAGGCTTTGCGGGCTCTGAGGGCTCTCGGCCGAGGCGGCAGTAGCGGCCGCGGCAGAAGCCACAATCGGCTTCGGCGGGGTCGTTTTGCCTTCCATGCGGCTAACCTGTAAATCCCGTACTCCAGCAAAGCTGCTGCGCGCAACATGCTGGGGGCCAGGGACCACTGCCATGAAGGCCAAGCCCTCATAGAACACTGTGCAGAGCCCGACCCCGGCAACGAAGGGAAGGACCAAAGATCTGCTTCGCGATGTCGTCATCCCTGTGACCGGAAACGGCTTTGGGCTCGTGTTCCTGGCTTTGAGCACCAATGCTGCGTTGAATCCTCACATGCATGAGACACAATAGCTCACACCAGACCTCACAGCGAAGACCTTGAGCCCTGAGCAGCCAAAGCCCACGCACTTGTCGTACGAACGCTGCAAAGCGTTTATACGCCTGCAGTGCAGGCGAAGTGCGGGCGTAGCCTCAGGAGAAACCGAGAGAGCATCCGAGCCAGATGGCCACCTCCGGATCTTCTGCTGCTGCTGCAAACACCGCAGCAACCAAGGTCATCCCCTGACAGTAGCCCAGCCTGAATAGTGTGGAGATGTGTGGAGAATGCACAAGTGCCGGCTGTGACCTCTGAGCTTCGAGCTCTGGGTCCTCCATCAGATGCTTCAGTATCATACCCCGGACCCTGAGGCGCAATGTAATCTCGTTGGCTTTGTCAGTTCTTGCTTCATGCACTGCTTACCATGACCTCGCAACTTTAACAATGCTTCCCTTCCTTCGACTTTGGATGTGCGACGTGCCCGCAGGTCAACCAGAAGACAGCAAACTAAGGCACGGATACAGCTGGCCTTCCAATGCAGGCCTGGAGCGCGGAGTCGCCACCAGCCGTGCGTGGAAGGTCAAGATCTAGCTGACGAACGACCTGCAAAAAATTGCATAACTCGCCTTTCAAGACATCGGAAGGAGTCGGGCCAGCTTAGGCTTCAAGTCCGCAATGCAATGGAGATGGACGACGAAGTGCGCATGCATCGGCTCTCACTTTTAACAGTGCTTGAGTATGAAGCCAGTAGGGAGGGAAGAATACTGAAACGTATTGAACGTGATGGGTTCACCCCCTATGTTCGGTCACCACGGCTGGACATGCTTCAGAAACGATCTCCTATTGTGCTCCAAATGCTTTGGCTGTGGATATCGGCTGCATGTGTACTTCAACGATGTAGATTCCACGGAGTCTCTCGGATCGTTTTGATCATCAAAATCTACCCTGACCCGCCAAGGCCTGTAGGGACATGACGAGCCTACTGTCCAACTTGTCCTCGCCTCCGGGCTCGGTCCATCTCCATCTTGCAACCTGCACGGTGCTTCCCCACGACACAGGCAGGTGAAGCTGGAAGAGCTAAGCCATGTTTGTGACAAGCGGCACAGAAAGCATTTCTTGGCTCCCGGACCGACTCAGCGTGCTGGGTGCCACATCTTGCATCCAGGGAGTGTTGTCCTGCCCAGCGGGAGCCGAAGCGGTCAACACGTGGCATTCTCTCTGTCACTCATCTCTGTACATCATCGCTCTCTGCACTTGGCACTTGCCTTGGTACCGCTTTATGCCAGGCATGCCATCGGCATGAGGCACCGGTGCAGCACCGCTCTTGCAGATCTTGTGCGTTGCAACTGCTGATGGGCGGTCAAACAGAGCACAAACGTGGAGACATGATATTTGAGCTCTGGATCCGGCAAGCGAGCAGTCGTGTGAAGAACGGTTGATGGCGGGCATCTTCGGGTCACAGTCTAGGTTCACGAGGCACACACCAGCATCCAGCGACAAGGCAGTGTTTGCATGGGGCTTGGCCTTTGCGTCTTTGCGATCGCCGCGGACAGTGTGACAGCTGCAAGCACGTTGCCCTGTTCCGAGACCCAAGCTCACCCGGACTGTGAAGGTGGAGCCTGAGAAATCTGAAATTCCTGCGGACGGCCCCTAGCAAGCCCCGATAAGACTGCGACGTGTTCATCAATGATTGGTCATGGATGCAGTCACCGCTCCTGGCTGAACCCAGTGCGCAGCTACTTGAAGTGATACTCGGTACACCACAAAGCAGTCCTTCCGAGTCCTTCTCTTGCTGCCCTCAGTGCGAGCGATGTCCAGTTACGAGCGCGCATCCTTTCACCAAAGCGGCAACAGTAGCGACATAGAGCGACAGAGTATCTGGCTCACTTTTGCTGAAATTCACGGCAGGGGCGGCAACGACGAGCTACACCTGGAACCACCACAAACCTTCAGGCCCCAATATTAAAGTTAGGTTCTTGGAGACGGCAAATTCATGAACAACCTCACAGACTCCGGGCCAAAACAGTCCGTAGTCATGGCCGGCCAGGATCCCCGGGCGCCGCAGTTTCGGCAGCCAGGCCTCTATGTCTGCTTTCACTTCATCGTAGGCGTGGAAGCTGTCAATGAAAACCAAGTGAAGAAAAGAATCTGGCACCCAGCTTGCCGCACCCGGACTTCGCTGCGTGATGATGACGCTACGATTTCGGTATGGCCGGACACGTTCCCAAAAAACGTCGAAAGCTTGTGCAGCATCTGATCGCTCTTCATACAAAGTGTGCTGTTCGAAATAGCTCTTGTCCGCAAATTCGAATGGGTCTACCAAAACCATTTCAAGGAAGGGGAGCCTTTCAAGAAGAAAACTCGATGTCTGCCCAGTGTGCACACCGATTTCAGCTGCTTTGACGGTACCTGTTGACCATTGCCTCGAAATCTCGCTGAGCAGGGATGCCAAGACATCTGCAACACCCGACCCGCGCGTTCCTTCGAATATCATTGGAGGCTGTGCTGTCCTCAGCCTCTCTGAGGAAGCAACCTGCGCGGCATGGATCCGTGACATCGCCAGCCTTGAAAGGTCCGAAGTGCCCTTGACGCAGTCGAGCATCGTAAGCAAAGATGGGGAACAAAGCTCCTCGCCCTCTGTCAGCTCCGCCACAGCGGCACAGGAGGGAACAGTCCCCAACAAATTCTCGACGTTGTCGGCGAGCCGAAGGCTGACGTCTGTTAAAGCCGACTCCATGCTTGGAGCCAGCGCTCTCAAGCCTTCCGAACACTGAGCTGTGTGATAAAGCAAATCCGTGACCAGCTGTGGCAGATAACACCATCCGGCTTCTTCGCAGCTACCCTCCTGCTGCCCCTCAGGAATGCACGCAAACATCACTGCATCCCGGACACCAAAGACAAGGTCAGTAAACAGCTTGGCGATGTTTACAACCGATTCGCCATTTCGCGGGTCGTGCCGGGCAGCTGCAGTCCAGAACAGTGAGGCATTGTATGTCCAATCTTGCGTCCGAAACGTGGCAGAGGCCAGATGAGGAAGGACAGCAACAGCCAATCTCAAGGGCATGGTGATGGACATCACAAGCCCACACTGAACAAATTCAGCTTGGACAGGAAAATGTCAATCGTAACAATAGATCGTCAGACATGGCACGCGAAGAAGCCAATCGCATGGCCTTCCGTTCCTATCCAAGATCGCTTGAGCCGCCGCGCTAGATTGCACGGGCAAAGGGATTTATTTCCCGGTTTGGGCCTGTAACTCTCCAGCTTCAAGCGGCTGGAGCAGGGCAGGAAGGAGAGGGGTTTAGGGGAAATCGGGGAACCTCTTAGCTTTCAGCTGCCCTCTCGGCACGTCCGCCCAGCATAGCCGATGAAAGCTACACCATCCTGCTCTCACTCACTTCGAAACTATCAAGATTCGAACACCACGAAACAACTAGATCCAAAGCGTGCAAATTTGAGAAACCGTGCGCGTGCAGTGGACGGGCATTCGTCAACCTCACATGACTCTGGGTGTGTGCATGTGCGACTGGCTACCAGTCAAAGTTCCCGCGCAATAGACCTACACTTGGATAGTTCTCTAAATTAGGGTCCCTTTTTCGGCCCCCAGAGTAGTACGGCACCCTAATTCAAAAAAATCCTAAAAGGGACCCAATTTAGAGGCTTCCCCACTCGCACAGCCGAACACACAATAGAGTCAGACACTTGAGTTCGTGCGATGTAGGGCTCCCATATCGCCTCAAAATGAAACAAGAAAAGAAGCAGAGCGCATCGAGATCAGCAAATGGCCGGGGAAGCGGTCCTGGACAAGTCGTACAAGGCCAGACCCCCGTTGACATGGCTCAGGGCCTCACTTCACAAGTTCTCTCAACATTCATGATTCCTCTGAAACCACCATAGAAACGGGTCTCGGCGTGTCTCAGCGTGTCTCAGGTCTGCACAGAAATATGCGCAGCTGCAAAGACATGGTGCCTGCAAGGCCACAAAAAAGCTCGTTCTGTATCAGAGCATAACCTGAGATGAAGCTGCGCAGGAAAGTCTGCTTTCTTGGTCTGCTGCTTCTCAAACGTGTCGAACTGCGCCCAAAGGTCTGCGATGTCGTCCAAAACGAGGACCTTGTAGGTTGCAAAGCTCCTTCTCCAATCCCAGAGTCCCTGTGTGCTCCCCTCGGGTATGCTCGGACAGCCACATCACCCAGATCCATGGCTATGACGCGGTCCACCTACCGAGAAACCCTGAAAATTCGCACGACGAGCTCGGAGCTCGGGCGATCTCGGGCGTGAACGTGAGACGGCAGAAGCTCATGGCCTGCACTCCGAGTCCCAAAAAGCCCAAATGTCTCCTTCGAGGCTTCGAGCTTTCCGAGGTTTCGGCAGATGAAGCGAGCCAACAAGGCCTCACCTCAATCGGAACTCCACATCCCCCGCGCTAGTTCGCCGGCCGGGCCCCCCGCCGATCTTGTTCACGTCGCAGTCGGATGGATACTGACCTGAGAAATCAGCCTTTCACGCTCACAGCGACTGCCTGTATAAGCTCGCAGCTCATGAAAAGCTGGAAGTTCACGTTCGTCGTGAAGTCCTGGTGGCAACGCAGCAGGGAATATGTGCGACGCTTCAGCATCGGCCACAACGACGACAGCTGGAGGTTGGAATAAGGCACGGAGTCGACAAGCAAACGAAAACAACAGGCAGACAACAACAAGCAGCCACAGAATGCACCGCTCCACGTACTCCAATTCAATGAGGTTGAGGCTTCGCATCTTGCCAGATGCCTCCTCAGCACTGATCTTGATCGCGCCATCGGCTTACCCAAGTGAAAGCTGTCGTGCCAAACAACGAAAACACAATCGGCAATCACATGCACCAGTGCTGGCCCGCTAGTAAGGCTGAAGCAAGATCACGCAGAGTGGAACGCCAGTTCTGGCAGCGCGAGTGATCGAAAAGCCCCCTTTACTCCTTTCTGCCCGGCAGAAAGTGTCATGGAGGCGCCTCAAGACCTGCTGCATCGCCTCAAGAAGGACTTCATGATGTCAAAGGGCGTAGCCATGGGCAGCCAGTCTTGAGGCACACGCCCAGAACGAAGATGTGCAACGGAACAGACCTCAACCTGGCTCACGAAAGAATGCAAATGGTCATGTTGTCGCAATGGCCGCCTCGCCTGAGAATGCTCCAGAGCGTGGTGAAGCCGACCTTCGCAGTTTGACCTTGAGGGCCGAGGCCACCGAAGCGAAGTGTCCATCTGTACCAGACTTACCAGACACCCACAAGTCTGCAGTGGCTGCAGGCCTTGTGCCTGGACTGCACAAAGCTGTGAGAGAAGGTGCCTTCTGTGGGCTGCTGGACCTGAGCCTCTGGGAATCCGACCCAGGTTCAGCACCAACAGGTACACAGGAGAAATCCTTATGCCGTGCACTAAGCCCAGAAGTGCCAGAAGTAAACCACGAAAACAGCAATCCAGCTCCGTACGAATTGACAGGAACAACACGTTTCACAGAAGAAGCCTCTCATCGAATGAGAATAGGGTGGTCTTCACGCATCTGCGAGGCAAACTGTCACATGCGACCTGGAAGGACGGAATGATGTTAAAGGCGAGTTCGTCATGCTCCCTCACCTGAGTGGTCAAGCAAACGCAATCCAAGTTGAGAACCTTCGAGAATCCACAGCCCTGCACCACCATTTTGTAGTAGTCCATCAAGAGGTCATCAAACTGATGTCTCACCTGTCTTGGCAGGACCACCAGCTTAGCACTAGCAGTCTGCATCACTCGGGGGAAATGCCTCCTGCTGATCAACTTCAGGAAACGTAATTCCGGAGTCGACCTCCGAGATCTGCCACAGTCGAAGCCCTGCTGAAAATCCATGAAAGCCAAGACGCTGACAGCTGCTTGGGCAAGAAGATAGCTCGAGAAAGCCTTCGCTTCACGTGGGCCCTACCCGCGCTCTGGACTTTGGACTGGTCTTACCTCCAATCGCAGTGCTGCCTTGGCAAGAACTCGACTTGTCCTTCGTCTCTCCCAAATCACCCATGACACGACAAGAAGACACTCATAAAGCGGATGCAAATGGAGGAATCCGAGGCCCCCGCGCCAAGGCACGCGGCCTCGCCGGCTTTGGCTTTCAGGCTCTCGCGGGCTCTCGCGGGCTTTGGCAGGCGGCTCTCGCAGGCGCTCAGCGGCCAGCAACAGCTCTCCTGCAACGTCAGCCTCGCGACGTCACCAAGTTTGGTGCCTCTGTGCAGTTTCTCTGAGACCGCGACCACCAAGCGATTCTCATCAGCTGCTTGCTTCATCTCATCCTTGAGAGCATCAGCCTGCAAAAGCATCCGCCAACTTGGCCGATTTCGTCCTGTCTTTGCTGACACGACGCACGTCCGGTGAGGAATGTCCACACAGATCGCCGTCTTTGTGATCTGTGCTGTGAAACATGGAATGTCCCCAGTCCACGTCGATGCAAGGAGGCCAAGCTGGGGCCGTGGGTCCACTGTTAGATTCGTCGGAGCAGTTCATGAATGAACTGCTCGGGCAGTCCGTGTTGGCACATCCATCTGAGAATCCAACAGCGATGTTTTCCTGCATAGTGCATAGGGTGGTGATCTTACCTTCAATGGCTCGATTGGAGTGTGACGAACGTTGCTGAGCACGTTTACATCTTTCCAGGAGCCTTACCTCGACTTGTGGACAAGGCGGTTGAGTTTGTGAACGAGAATGGCTGTACTGCGCAGATTTTGAAGCAGAACCCAGGGGAAAACGAGCCCGATCAGGACTTCTGGGCGGCCTGCATGACTGGTTCCGGTCCCAGTGACATTCCAAGATGGACATCGCGCGCAAGCTTCACGGTAGGTGCTGAAGCTTACTGAAGATTTTCAGTTAGGAGCTTAAAAATTCCTTTAATTGGCGCGTCACTCGGGACAGAAACGGAACCGACGCAGTCAAGGCATAGATGCCCTCTTGCTGCTTCCGGCACGAAGCCGGATCTCCTCCAAGGAATCTGGTAGGGCGGCATTGTCGTTATTCATGGAGCCGGCATTCATCGCCATCATGCCGGATGCTGCACACCCCGACACCAGGACGCGTCTGCTCCAGGAGCCTCACATCCTCTGCCTCAGCTTGCAGTCCAGGATTGGCTCGGCTTCATCCCCGCGCTGCGGGGATGAGCCAGGCCTTCCAGACATTCACAGTTCACCACATTGTGAAAGAGCCGCCGCTCACGGGTGTGACACGGGAGTCTCTGGTCAATCAGCTCTGCGGCTTGCATGCAACTCCACATGCCGCATAGCCTGTGTTTTTGCTTGCGCTGTCCATGTGACAAGATCTTGCTGGCTCGGCTAAGTGCCTTCACTGATTATTTGCAGCACATCAGTGTCTGCTCCTTGGTCAACTTGGCAAACCTGGCCGCTCTGGGTCAGCAAATTCTTGCTGTGGATGCTGGCAAGATCCTCGACAATGCAAGCAAGAAGCCCTGTCCTCTTTCCATGCTGCTGCACTGAACTTACGACCATATCTTTGCCATCGCCCTTCGGCATATGCGAAGCCTAAAAAGGCCTGCAGATCTGCCCCATTTCCACAAGACTCGTCGCCAAAATCAGCGAAATGGCATCTAAGAACTTTGCTGTGTACTTCTCACGTGCTCCTAGACGATACTTTCTGCAACAGACCGGAAAATGAAGAGCCTCCTGTCGAGCCTTGGTGCCACGCCTGAACCTTCCTCGCCAACTTTGTCCCTCTACTGTGCCAGTGACAGCCAGGAACGCAGCCAAGGGCCTGCAAGCAGGCAGAGGTAGCCGTGGTGACCTGAGCTGCGAACCGCAGCTCTTGCTGTTTTACCGTCTACGATATTTGCACATGAAAATTGACCTGAGCCTCAGTCTGCTAGCCTTCGCCAGCCCTCCAAGCTCTTGTGCTCAAAGTCCACGAGCACCCTGACAGCCACGCGAGCCCTAGCGCCCCCAGGCCCAGAGTTCTTGCCCCGGCCAACCTGCACGGCCTGCTCTCATCGCTAATCGCGAACCGAGCTGCAAAAAAAATCGTGGAACAACGCTGAAAACAGCATCTAGCAAAGAGCCCCAACCGACATCGAAGCAACTGCCCTCCGGGCTAGACACCTTGCTCCTTCCGCGACAATCTGCTTATTGGGCTACCACGGTGCAGTTTGGCACTTTGGCTCCTCCTTGATACGCACTTGTCGTGAGATTCAAGCAGTGTCAAGTTTTTGCCATCGGGACAGGACTTGAAATGATCGCTCAGAGAGTTTTCACACTGCAGGGCCCAGGCCTGAAAACAGCTGGATCCTTACCATGAAGAGCCCGTCGAGGGGCTCCACAAGCGCAGTGGAATCGGATGAGTTGTGCACCAGGGACCGGAGCTATCCATGTATCTTTACAGCCTTAAATTGTTCTCCACATTCTCCCCGCCTCCCCTCCTTCTCCTTCCCAGGTGTGGTCTGTTGAGTGGAGCTTGGACATGAAGCGTCTCTGCAAGGTCCGCGGCATGCTTTCTCCATGCTTGCTGGGCACGCTTTTGAGTTCGCTTCGCCTCGGAAGAGTGCTGGCCTAAGGATTCCCAACGGGACGGTGTCCGATCCTACCGGTCTGCCTCTCTGCGACGGTGGAAAGCAAAGCACAGTCGTCAGGGGGGAAGCGGCGTCCGAAGGAGATGCTAGAAACTTTGACAGAGTTGCTGCGACAGGCATCACATGACCTTCCTTGATCTGTCGGAGCCGAAATGGAAAACCACAACGATCCGGTACTACCTGTGTCACGTGACAGCGCCATTCTGCGATCATTGAACTCCAGGCCTTTCCAGGGCCGCGATGACATAGGAGCGCTCCTCCAACTTATTTGAGCTGACCCTTCCTAGGCAGCTGAAATGCAAGTTATTCCTCTGGTTCAGCTGTTAGCTTCGATGGGCCGACAGCAGTCAGGACCCGGAGGATGAAGTCTGTCCGGATGCATCGTTTCTCACTGAAAAGGAGGCCTGTGAACAGAACGCGGTGGCCATTGGGGCCTGCGCGGTCTTTGGGAGCACCGCAGCATTCCCTCAGATAACAACACAGAAGCTGGATCGATGCAAGGCAAATGCCCGAGCATCGAACTCTCCGCGCGATTCCAAGTATTCCTTCAAGACCGCGGCACGTCTCCCAAGACAGTTCTCTCCATCGCAGATTGCTCTAAACACAACTCAAAATTTTGCAAACGCAGCATTTAGAGCTGTCGTGAAGGGCCTCTGGGCAGGTTAAGATCAAGTCTTGCAGCGGTACGACGTCCGAAGGAGGGCAGCAGGCGATCTCGGTTGCCACCAAAGGAAAGGGTCCATGAGGGCTGAACTCACGCAGGAAGACGACAGAGGTCTTCACGTATAGGATCAACGTCGGAAAGCATTGTGAGCCAGCAAACATCTGCCTCGGTGCTGTCTTGAAGCTCAACACCTGCATTTGATCCTGCTCAGCGCCCGAAGTCGAGTGTCACACTACTGCAGATTTGCAGCTATCCATGGCTTTTGTCATGAACTTGCGTGTAGCAAGAAGCTCTTCCTTTTCTCATATGCTCAATGTTGGAATGTCGCCGATCTTTAGGCTTACATCGCCACAGGTGACAGCATCATTTGGAACTCCAGCACTTTCGTGGTTTGGCAGCGGGAGTGGCTGTAGCACATGAATGTCGAAGTCCAAGGTCCCAGTAAGCCAGGCACTGCATCTACTCGGTGCTTATCCTTTCTGAGACATGTTTTCCATGCTGAGCAGATGAGCCATGGTTTGAGAGAGAAAAAAAGGGCACAACTCTCTCAGAGATCGATGCACTTCATATGTACAAAGTAGCATCCCCTTCCGTTCTGCGCAATGGCGCCATGTCGTTTAGACAGGAGCGCTGTGAAACTCCCGGCCGCGTGTTGGGACATCGCATCACGCCTATCTCCTCAAGCAGACAAACTTCCTCCTGATGCCGGCCGAGAGCAGGAAGTTACTCGAGCAGGTTCTGGCCCTTGCCTTGGGCAATCTGCCTGCGAATTTAGCGAGTCGGACTCACCTCTTTCTCGGGTTCCGGCTTCTGTAAATTAGCTATGCACCGTGATGACGCCCGTCGAGCATCACACTGTTTTAGACAAATCTGCGCTGCTCTGCTTGGCAGCAGCCAGCCAGGACACGACCTTGAGGAAAGCAGGCAGATCGAGCTGGTTGCCGCAGTCCATGAAAAGCTTTACCTCAGAACCCACAAGATGCCCCCACACACGCCGACACGAACTCGGCGGGCCTTGACCTCCTCCCTCTCGATGGGTGTCAGCTGCACCCCAAGCTGGGAGAGGATCGTCCAAAGCCCGTTAATGCTCAGAGTCGCCTGTTCAGACTGTCCGCTTGGAAAATCAGATTCGCCTAACATGACCGTCTCGTCCTCGCTCAACTCTGGGCAGAAACTCAGTCCTTGGGATCGGAAGTGGGCGATCCTCGTTCAGGTGTCAGGCCTCGGATTTCCCGCATGGTAGCGTATCCCAGATTTAAGCTTGCAGTGTCTGCCTTTGGAGAAGATGACGGAAAGCTCGTCAACCTCTGCCTGCGAGCATGAGCACAGTTCCAAGCTGAGCTAAGCAACTTAGCTGATGCTTTTGCAAGCTCTGCAAAAGCCGGCAAGACATGCAACATCACACCTCTTACATCGAAAAAAGACTTCGAGCGTGAGGCCTGCGAGAAGCTTGCAGGGCCACTGCCCCTGAGCTGCGATGCCCTTTCTTTGTCCTGCACAGCTGGTGACAGCATTGTGGCACTTGCGATTCAAGCTATAATGTTCATGCAGAAACTGATTTGGCTACTCTGGCCTGATGGGTCTGCAAGATGCGCTGCAGATGGATAAAGACCCACTGCGTCACAGCTGCTGAACCCTCCGCGCCGCACAGATGCGAAGGGACCTCATGCGACAGCGCAGGCTTCATGAATAACCCTCAAACATACTTCGGTCCTTTTCGCAAGATTCGAAGAATGTTGGCAAAAAATGATTGCACTGTGTCTTTCTCCGTTTTCGTCATGGTCCTCTTTGCTAAATTTCAAAGTGGCGGGTGTTTTAAAGGTCAGTTGTTGACAATCGTAGTGTAGCCTTCTGAACGGGCCAAAGTTCGACTTCTGCCTTGAAATTTGATGGAAACGGGAAGAAGCCAACGTTTCGAATCGCTCGAGCGTGGCTAAAGTTTGGTTAAAATGTGTGCAACTGAAAAGTTACCTGGGTGTACTGGCATTTTCGGGCCGGCAGAAGCCAACCAGCTTTTTGCCACCAAGTGGGTCAAGGATATGTTGTCAGTGGCGTGCTTAAAGACGCACTGTTTTTGCTAAATGCTGACAATTGTTGTGAGTTTCACCTGCTCAAGAAGCAGCAAATTGTTTGGCATGCACAAGCCCCAAAAACCAATACACCCCCACACAACGCTAGATGCGCGACACAAAAATCACAACATCAGCGGCGTCTCGCAACTAATGCGGGTCTTGCAACGTCAAGACAATGCGCACTGCGCAAGAGCAGTCTAAACATGCTGGACAAGCAGGGGGGGGTAAAGGGCCGGCCCCCCTCCACCTTGTCGAATGCCACAGCTACCTTGTGGATCCTTGTGGTCGGGGGGCGGGCACCCTCCTTAGTGCTTCTAAATCTTGCGTGGTGTCCGGGGAAAGGTGGAGGGATTGAAGTAAATCTACATATTCCTAAACCACCAGAATAAGCTCCTTTAATCCGATTTTGACCTGGCTCAGTACGGTAGTACTGTACTTAGAATTGGTGAACGACCGCTCACAAAGCTTTCGCGTGTCGCAAACGACGATATGCGAAGCATGGTGAAAATCAAAACCTTATGTGAGAATCCATGCGCAAATATCTCGGACAGCAGGTCCTGTCCGTTCCAAAATCATTTTCCTCCTGCATCCTGCCCCTTCTTCTGCTTGCGGGCTGAGGAAGTGCCGCTGCGAGTCTGAAACCATCTGCCTGGGCCGTCCAACCGTGCACAGGTGCATGTCCCCGATGCTCCTGCCTAAACCTCGTCGCGTCCTCTCTCTTCTTGTGCTGGGCTTGGGGGATGTTCGAAATCCGAGGACACATTTGCTTTGCTCCGAGGACACACTCTCTCTCTGTCTCTTTCTCCCAGGTAAGGGGGACGTGTTAAGTTCCCGTTTGTACATCGACGCTGTAAATCTTTGCGTCTTGTAACCGGTACCCTGCGCAGCACCGTTAAGCTGGATTTGCTTTCCGTTTGGAGACCACGCTTGCATTGAGAGCCAGGACACCTGCGCCAAGTAGCATCGGCAACACTGCAAACACCGCCATGACGGCCGGCCACTGCGATGCGCCTTGTGCGCACTGAGGATTGTTCACCCCCAGAGCATCAGTTGCATGTGGACCAGCGATGGTATACAGGAAACGGTCCGGCGTCAGGACTGCGTGGTAGAAGCTGGGCAAACGGTGGCGGAAACGTGGGCTGACAAGTCCATCCATAAAACAACTGCGGCGTGCGCTAGCCAGCACACCGTTCACTAAAATGTTTCCTGAAACGGTGAAGGGGTTGTAGACACCGAATCCTGGAACGAAGTTAGTGGGGATCCGAGCCAGCTGACACTGGGCGCCCATACAAGCACCCTGCACAACCACACATAGCTTCCCACTGCAACATCCGAGGCACACATGGATTGGGCACTGGCAAAATCGCGGGGATAGCTCAAGAGGTTCGAGAAAAGGTGACCCCGACCCAACTGCTGAGATGCATTGTCGGAGAGGCTTTGCAGCTGCAACTTCACATATGGTTCCCACTTCTGCTCTGCATGGCCGAAGAAGTGCACTTCATCAAAGATCAGAGTGCCGTAGGAGTCGGCGGTAATGACACGGTCACCTGCACACAACTCCTGCAGGCCCTTCACGCCGTCTGGAGCCCTCACTTGTGCGTGTGAGGGGAAGCACCCACCCCCACCGCCACTGGGGCATTTGCCCTTCTGATCACGCTGCGTCTCCTGCTGCTCCCATATCTTCCACGCGTTGCAACGGCCAGCAGATATGTCAAATCCAAAGCCGCCACCCGTCTCCAGGGCCGTTCCGACACGCGTGCCTCCCGGGTCCACGACTATAAAGAAGCAAGCTGATGCGCCGACGAATCTGGCCTCACCTTCTGTGGAATCGAAGTCATTCCAGTAGCCGTGGGAGACAAATACCCAATCCCGCTCCCAGCTGAACACCGCCACACACTTCTTGCAACTGTCCCCATTTGAACGACCGCCGTCGTGCCGACGGCGACGCCCGCCGCAGCCGATACACCCAGCTCGTAACTCCGAGCTTTGCCATCGCAGCAGGCGGCCTGCCTGTGGTTCAGACGGCGCCTACGGCGACGACTGTCGTCCTTGCCGGTAATGCTTTCATCAAGGTGCAAAGCCAGGGCACTGAAAAGCCTTTGGCTGGGTGCGGAAGAGTTGGAGGCGTTGCGCAAGTGGCTAAGTTGAGCAGCTCTTCGAAACATGGCTGCTGTCAGAGGCTGGGGTTCTGGTGGCTCGGTCAGCTTGGGCGAAGACTTGCCCAACAAGGGGCACACATCAGCGAGAAAAGTCTGCCATCCCCTTCACCTTCGTCAAAGGCATGTTCACGAGCCGCTCCAGCGCGAGCTTGCACTCATCAGACCCGACTCCGAACTCTGCCTCCCTGCCCTTGCCTTCGCTGCCCAACTTCGCTGCCCAACTTCTTCTCTTCTAAACAAGCAATCATGAAGGATTCGTCTACCCAGCTTGTCGAAGTGCACATGAGTGACATCTTCTACAGGTCGCACACACTCTGGCTCCTCGACCAAGTCGATGAGGACGGCACAGAGGCCTTCCGGCGTGGAAACGGAACGACCGCCAAGCAGTCTGTACTGCACCTCCATGTCGTAGATGACCCGGTCGCATTCGGATTCCAACACACTCGGATCCACCTCGCCGAGCACAGATTCTCCCTCCACGAATAGCCCTTGCTTGCAAACACTGCCAAACCTCTAATCTGAGCGATGATGGGAAGCTTCATATCAGCATTCTTGTGAACAGACTGAAGGCACCCCTTGCAGAACATCGAGTCATAGCCATAGCCAAACGACCTTTCCAAGTCCTGCGCCATGTCTTTGACAAATGTCAGCGCCGTGTCTTTGCAGAACAATTAACGACTGGTATTCAACTCGGGGCCCACGTGAAGCTTCATTGACTGGGCTGTCGGCCACAGAGGACCAGGATGCCGAATACATCCCCGGCATAGCGAATAAAATGCGAGAGAAAGACTTGCCTCGACTAAATGACATGAAAGGCTTGATCCCTTGAGCCAAAATGGCTACGCACCTGCAACTCTTTCTTTCGCCAGGGTTGCGGGAAGGGGTTTCCCCCTTGCCCGCGCGCTCGTGCGCCCCCGACGTTTGCGGGTGCCATTAGCACTATGTTGCATGCACGACCGATGGAGTGTTCGCCGAAAAAGGACCCAAAGCATACCCATCATCTAAGAGCCAAATGGCAAATGCGTCACTTCATCACCTCGATGCAATGCGCAAAGAAAGTTTGGAGGACAGGTTTCAAGTCGAGTTCACAGGCGGAAGTAAAACGAAGTAAAGGGCGGTCTTGCTCAACTTGAAAGCCCGAAACGAAACAGAGGGGGCCGAGTCTTGAACCCTTCTCACTAATTAGTAAAGTTGGAAGCTTGGTTCCCGCTCCCGGGGATATCCCCGTCGTCCCCCGCTTCTGGTTGTAAGTCATGTTCACGACATTTTATCTGCGGCGGCGGTGCCTTCCGCCGCGGTCCCGGCTCCTCCTTGGTTCAGAGGACATTTCTGTCCTGACCACGTAGTATGAAGATCACGTTCTCTGTCTCCCCCACTATCACGACCGTGACGAACAGGTAACCGTGGATCGAGGTACCCCCCCGGCTGAATCGGCGGGTGCAGGTAAGAGATGAGTAGGCTCGCCGAGAACTATGTCGCGGCTGTACAGGAGGTCCCTGAGGCTCAGCACAGCAGCGGTTGCCCTGAGTGCTCATCTATCTCCCCCGTTAAAACGATGGTCAAGACGTTCAGCAACGGCGGCGGAAAGAGCACCTGAAGAAAAGACGAGGCAGCCCCCCGGGCTGAGTGAGAGTGGACCTCGAAGCAAGTAGGAGAGAGGAGGAGAGGGGCAGAGAGGCCACTCTCCTTGAACCACTCCAGGCTTGAGCACAAATAAGATGGCTACCTGCAACTCTTTCTTTCATTGGGCATGGGGGACTGTTGAGGTCCCCCGGCCTAGTGGCCGCCCATCTGTTATGGGGCTTTGAGGAGACGTGAGAAGTTGCGGGACACTGAAGTCGTGGTGGCTCGTGTTCCTATCCGCAACTTTGCTTTGCTTTGGGGTTAGGGTCCAAGGGGGAGTTACCCCCGGTACCTGCAACTCTGTTCTGTTCTGTTCTCCGGGGCATATGGTGCGTGCGAAGCACCCCGCGCCGAAGGGCGCACCCCTGTTTAGGGGCCTTGTGGGGGTCGAAGAAACGATATGGATGCTCGGTCCGCTGAAAAAGAGATGGATGCCAGGTCATAGGAACAGGTTGAGCACTACGATAAAAACCTTTACAATATCAGGGACCTGGAGCACCATATCTTCGGCAGGACGAAAAAAGCTACAACTCTCTCTCTCTCTCTCTCTCTACCAGGCCAGAGAGGGCGGGCGGTCCCCCCACCCACGCGCACCTGCGGTTCACCGGGTTTTAAGGGCTGCCGCTGGAGGGTTGCCCCCCAGTGGCTCGCTGTACATGGCCGGGTGGAGGTCTCACACAAAGCAAAGCGACTCTCAAGTACTGCGGCTGCTGACAAAGTACACTGAGACCGTTCTCCCTCTCTTTCTCTCCCTCTACCAGGAAAGGGGACAAGGGCGGGCACCCCTCCCCTCGCGTGCGAGCGCGCACCTCGGCAGGTTTTTGTTTCCGCTGAGGGCTTTGCGCCCAACGGCTCGGCTATACAAGAGCCAGTGCAATCCCACTCGAAATGTCACTCCAACAGCTCACCAAGTTGTTAACCACACGCACACCAAACCTGAACACCCACCGTAAGCACATGCAATATTTCCCCCCCGAAGGTGAGAATGCACTCGTCACACACCTGAGCCTGAGCGAACTGTGTAGTGTGGAGAGTGTGTAGCTGAGAACTAACAACCGGCACCATCCCTCATTTTCAGCTCGATGTGACCTCGGGGGAAGGACCTGGAATATTGCAGAACTCTAACTAGGGGCCTGGTTGCAAGTTCACCCGGGGGATCAAAGAGCTAGTAGGCCACACAACAGAGCATGTCACAAACCACCTCAGACAGCTTGCACGGGGACATCAGTAAAAGAAGTTATGCTTCATTACGTGTTGTCCCTTGTTGTGTTTTCGAGGAGTGTCCCCCTGCCCATGCTGGTCGGGTTGCCGGAAGTCCTAGGTGTTACAATATTGCAATGCCTTGGTTCTCTCAGTGCCACAGTACAGTTCGCACCTGCAGCTCTCTCTCTCTCTCTCTCTCAGCTTCTTTTCGTCGTTCAGCCGCACGCCCGAGAAACGCACTTCGACAGCACATTGGACGGAAATCGAGGTGGTACTTCATTGGTTGTAAAGCGGCCGCGTTCAAGTCTGATCCCCTTGTCTTAGCTCGTGCAGAAAGCAATTTCGACCGGAGCTCCCCGTAAAAACTAAGATGGATCTCAAGGTTGCAAATGCTCCAGACGTGGCATACACCCGGCCACTTTGACTGGACCATACTGCAACCCGGCGGTACGTAAAAAATCGATAGTTTTCGATCGTGGAAAGACGTCCTTCGAGAGCCAGAAGAGGGTGTTTGCGGTGCGCTCCAGATAGTTATACAGTGAAGTTATTTCTCGTCGACCAGGCTTAAGAAGCTTGGGAATGAGCTGGGGCTTCTTAAACTGCCCATGCTGTAAGATCTTTGCATCCAGGGAACACCAGCTTGGAGTGCTGTCGTCCGTGCTTCCTTGATGAAACTCAGCAGCTGCCTCATCAGCTAACATCACGTTGCTGGCTTAGGAGTCGACCAGATAACTTCACTGCAACAAACAGCGTCCGGAAACCCCCAACTCTTCCGGGCCAGCCGCAGCTGATCTTTCTTGGTCTGCAAGGAAAGACCTCGTAGCATGCGAGAGGCTGTCTTCAAACTCCTTCAGAGTCCTCTCGTCGGCCTCGATCCTGGCAGAAGGCCACTAGTTCGTTCTGGGCGATTTCGCCACCTCGGCCGATGGGAAGCCGAATGTTTGCAAACCTGGTCCTGCTATTCAACTCCGCATGAACCATCGCATGTTCTCTTCATTTCGTTCCGCTCCTTTCCGGCTAATGGGTTCAACGAACCAACTGAAAGCTTGAACAGCGAAACCGCGCAAATTGGAGCAGTGCTAGATCTGATAGTACTTGCGGCAGTTGTAGCAGCAGCAGTAGAAGCAGTATTCACAGTACTCGCAGTACTGCTGGTAGTAGCATAACTACTACTACTCATAGTACTGCTAGTACTTCTAGTACTTCGAGTACTGCGAGTACTACGCGTACTACGAGTTCCACGAATACAACGAGTACTAAGAGAGTACTAGTAGCAGTAGCAGGAATACTCGGAGTCTGAAGAGTACTAGTGGCTCTATGAGTATCAGTTATTCCCATTTGTACCGTGTCTGTTCTTCCTCGGTCGTCGAGGACTTGCTTTCAGGATGACTGTGGTCTTGATCCTCAGTTGAGTATCGCTAATTTGATTTAGCTGTGCCCTTTTCGAGGTTGCTTGTATGCCTAATCCCTCCTGTCCTGCATGTGCCCGCAACTCTCCAAACGACTGCTTGCAATCTTCCTGCGATGCGTCAGCACAGCTGGCTTAAGCTGCAGCCAGCTGGCTGTCGTCCTTGGCATACAACATGCTGGCAGCCCAACCGGACAACTCTGTGAAAAACATGCTTCTCATAGAGAAGGTTCGGAGTCGAGTGCCCGGAACAACTTCTGGAATTTCTCTACAGCTTCATCTGAAAAGCCAGCTTGCCTCAAATGCACGCACGAATCCTGGACGTCTGAGACATTCAGGCACAACCGTAAACAGATTTGTATGATTGGCGTGACAAGACACTTCCGCATCTTCTCCATGTTCATCCGCCGGCAAGAGTCACAAAGGAGAACCATGGCATCATAGTCGAGTGCTTCTCGAAGCAAAGCTCTGAACACCCCTGCGCAAAGAGACGTAACACGCATTTGTCGCTGTTTCTCGCGACATGACCGAATATATGCGAGACGAAACATCTTCAGCCTGTGGTGGAAGTGACGAAGTTGTCTGAAAAGCCCAGCAGTCGCAGCATGGTTTTGACATCTCCGGGCTCAACCGTGACCTTGACGACCCCGTCCTTGGAAGGGTGGATAAGCCAAAGGGTCAGAGCCTGACAGCTGGGAGTCTTGAGGCGAAGAAAGGCACACAGCGAGCGTGAAAAAAGCAGCAACTCACAGCATCAGGAGACAGGCGGGAGATTTGATGTCCCACTCGCCCGTACGAGTAGAATCGTCATTTACGCCGAATTACACCTCCTGTCAAAAATTCGAACCAAGAGGCATCCAAGACATCCGTGTCTGCATACTTGTCGAAGGTGTGCCGGATGCCTTATGTTGCTTATGTTCTGATTCTGGAAGACATGATGCCCTTCGGCCGACACAACAATCGCCCAAAACAGGCGTTGTCCTTTTTATGTAGTGGTACGCAGTAGCTCCTGCTCTCGGTGCATGCGCATTAGGCGGAGAAATTCCGAGAAGTCCAGGGAGTTGCTGCCGTTCCTTGGCAACGAGGCTAGCGCACGCGCAGTTAAATTTGAACTGTCGGTTGCTCCAGTCGGGGCTCCAATCCACAGTCTTTAGCAGCACCTGGCATCGCAGTCAAGGCATGGATGCTGTCTCCTATCTGCCACGCCTGCACTTCTGCCAGCTCGGTGACGAATCCGAGTGAGCGCAGTATGCCACCCACTTGGATCACATCAACCTGCGTCAGGACCAACATACCCAACGGACGCTTGCAGTGCGGCGTCATGCAGCTTCATAGGTGGCCGTCCGGCAACCTCACCAACCTTTTCAGTGTCGAACATGTCGAAGCTTTGTTTGAATTCCTGCAGATGACATCACAGCCAGGAGGGCTGAGCCAGGACAAGTCTTAGTACTTGCAACGCTCTTGGCAACGTGCATCCGTCCCTGACTTCGTGGCGCATGAAGCCATTTGAATTCCGGAAGAGCTCCATCCTCACTTCGTGTGGCACGCAGTTAGCAGGCTCCAGCCATCGACTTTGAGGTTGCTTCTTGGAATCACCGAGGGCCCGTTTTCAGCTAAACTTCCGATCGAAAGTGCAGATTACGCCCAAATCCAGAACATACTTTGCGGATACTGATTTCAGAGAGCACTGCAGCTATTGCCGTTAGATTGCCGGCTAAGCTTGTGGGCGCTTGCAACCGCTCCTGCAGAAATGCCTTGCCCAAAACTCGATCGGAGCACGCACTAAGTTTACGCATTGTGCACAAGGCACATTTGGACAAACTCATCGAAGTCCAACATTCCGCCTGAATCCGATCGTGTGTGGCTCCAGGAAGCACTAGTACGGCGGCATGCTGTGAGACAGCTCGCACTAAGATCCGCACGCTTCTGCGGGTTAACTGCTTCAATCATGTCAAAGATTACCTGAGCTCACTAAGGCAGCCAGAAGCCACACGTCCTAGACGAACAGTGGAGCGGTGAAGAGTGGACCGGAGCAAAGCGGCCGCACGCAGCGGCGTGTAGCCCAAACGTTGCAGCACCAGGCGGATCTCCTCCTCGCAGGAACGGCCCCACGAACGGGAAGGAGGGCGCCGACAGGAGAGCCGCAGACGGCCCCAGCTTTCAGCTTGCACTGTCATCAGAAGGAAAGCCGGGGCGAAAGGGAACGGCGGCCTCGTCCAAGAAGCCTCCTTTGTCCACATCTGCTCCTGCAAATTCCTGGCAGAGGTCAAGTCTAAAGTTCACCGATTTTTGTTCTGTTGCAAGGCCTGCTGGTACCACTGGACTTCAATCTCTCGGAGGCGCCTCTTCACGAAGCAATGGCTCTACGATGCTTTGCGAGTAGGTCGAAACTCAGCAGTTTCTCGGTGCACCTGGCCCAGATGAGGAACTCACCTCATGAAAGCTGGTGTCCCTCGCCGCTCTGAGGACCCAGTACCAAATTTACTCTGCCTACAAGAGCACGGTTTCATGAACTTTTCAGGCGAGACACGGAAGGTCATTCCTTCCGCCTTCTTGGTTGGCTTCTTGCCCTGGCACCGGGCAGAAACCTATGGCCTATGCCGATAACCCAAAAGGCAGAGCTCGGGTTGGCAACATGATATTCCGTGCCTCTTCTCCTTCTGATGGCGGCCTTCAAAGCCAAGAGCCGTGGACAACATGGAAGCTGAAAGCACGGACCGTATGGAAGTACTTCGTGTGAGTATGATCTGGTCGCCTGGGCATGGCACTCCCAAGCCGCGAGGCCAGCTGCGCCGCTTGGCTGCCGAACATCTCGATCAGAGCCTGCCACATGTACCGAGCAGCACTGTGCCAAAGCTGGAGAGACGAGGCCTTGTTCGAGCGGTCGTAGGGTAGCATCCGCCTCCCAGATGTGCTTGGCCTTAACCACGCTCAGACACTCCTCTGGCCAATCAAGACTAAGACGGTAAGACGGGTCACTTCTGCAAACGCCACCCCCGAATTTTGCTCTGTCAAGCCACTTGGTTTCTGCAAACCGCGTGAAAATGCGATGCAGCTTCAATACCTCGCTTGCACAGAAAACGTTGGCTCCGACTACTAACGTTCCAGAACCCCAGCCTCCGACTCTGCGAATCCTTCCGTTTTTCCTTAATGCCCAAAACATGGCACTTGGGTTGGGACTTCGAAGTATCCCAAACTGCTCTCTGCAGGTCTTGACCGGGGGACGGTAGATCAGAAGGAGCTGCACGAACTCCTCAAAGTCCAGACTGCCCGAGCCATCCTCGTCCACCACAGCCAGGGCTCCAGCTATGGTGGTTCCTCGGCGATCAGGGGCTACAGAGACTCGTTGCTTGCCTTCACCGGGCCGCCCCTCCTATCATTCACGAAGTGCCCAATCCCAATCTCCGGTCACTTGTCAGAAGGTCCCCAATGGTCCCCAGCTCTGGGCAGAAGGGTCTTTGCACACGCCCTCCTCAACTGGCCTTAACTCTTATCCCTCTTGGGCCTAGACCGCATATTGAGACCCCACTGCACCACAACATTCCAAAGCTGCTTGCTGCAAGATGTCTGGACGGTGTGATCCCCAAGGACTTCAGGACATCTTCCTGGGCAGCCAACTCTTGGAAACATGCTAGCTCTTGGCCACTGGCTCGCTCCTAGCGTCGAGTTCATCAGCGCTGAGCTCTCCGGACTGGTCCGCATCGAAAAGTGCGAACTTCTCGCGCACCTGAACACGAAGTTCCCGCCGGCTCCACGCTGGCGCTCGGTGCGCATCTTGCTCCGTGCTGCTGAGCGGCTTGATTCTGATCAAATGCCTCAGAGGCTTTCAAAGGCCACAAGCCGCAGCACATCACCCTTCCCTTCCGTGGTGACACGTCGGAAGAGCTTTTCAGGTTCAGCTGCTGTACCGATCTTCATTGATTATTCGTTTGCGGTCGGTCTTCCGTCTTCTCTCTCCCGATGGACTGTTGTGTCATGCAGGCCTCCGCTGAAGATCAGGATGTGCACTGGCACCACAGCGGCCATACTATGTAAGCCATCGTGAGGAACATTGGGGTCTCGTTAAAAAGGGCTTCCGGCTTAGTGGTTAATTGCGACTTGCATAGTGAAGGAAACTGCTTTGGCGCAGGCCGCTGCGGTCTGAGACTATCGGAATCGGGCTTGCCAAGTGTGACGGATACGGCACCAAACCCCAAATCTCAAGCTATAAACCCTAAACCCGAAACCTTAAATCCACATCCACGCCCCATAGATTTTACGAAAACTGACAATTCAATGCTGAGCCTTCGCCTGTGGTTCCCGAAGCGTGGAGGAGGCCAGAGCAAACCGCGGCCCTGATCCCTGCAAAGCCCTGAGCACGCCCGTGGTAAACCCGATAGTCCGGATCAGACCGCAACAGCCTGCGCCGAAGCGGGCTTTCTTGAACATCAAAGCCTAAACCCGGAGCCCTATACAACCTGCAAAACTCCAACGTTTCTCGCGACAGGTCTTGCAGCATAGCCGAGTCAGCGCACGTCCTAATCTTAAGCGGAAATCGGGCATGACACTTGTTGACGGTGGCTTGAACCAAATTTCAAGTTTTGCAAGCCCTGGTGTACGGTTGGAAAGGGGCGGCCCAGGAAAAATGGCTGAAAAACGTCGAACCCAACCCAATTTTCGTACGAATTGAGGCTGAGAATAACAAGCCTGAAGAAGATACGCACACCTCGATCAAAAAAGCTTCAAGATTGGTGATCCCAGCACTTTTCTGACTGATATCCTACCACTGATTCAGCACCGATGCCCTTGCCCGAGTCATAAAACTCATGAACTCCTCGAACTCCATGGTGGAATACCTCCTGAGCCGGCACATCATTGGTGAATGACATGACGTCCGCCTCATGATTACCAGTCAAGGCGACGTGATCTCAGATACCATGGCGTGGACGTCGGCTTCGGAAATCTTAAGGTATCCAAGGTAATCGAGAATCCTTGGCTCCCCAGGAGAAGTATCAGCAAAAGACCGCCCCAAACTCGTGCTTGCCCGGGCTCTGTTCCAAATCGTCCGTATGAATCTCTGGGCCTGAGAGTCCACCGCCCAACAGTTGCCAGACGTCGATTCTGAGAAGTCTCACACTACAAAGACCAAATGGTTTCACGCTCTACACGGGATTGAACACACAATCGGACATTGACAGCGCTAGATTTCAGCTTTGGTCTCAACTTTGACAACAACGCAGACAAAAGCAATCCTCCGGACGCCACACCCAAACAAGAGAGCAAAAAGAACACCGGCGACGAACCTCCCTGCCCAGTAACTGCAGCCAGGACTCTGAACGCTTGCCTGGGCAGCACTCAGTCATTAAGGAACATGCAGCAGACTCCGCAACGACTGGAGCTTCCAAACTTCTTCGACAATTGAAAATTTCGCCAGCGGCACCGATGCAGCACGAAGGCCTTTCGCAGACGTTCTGCATCCTTCTCCGTAAATCCTTCAGACCTAAGCAGGGCTCAGGACTTCTCTTCTCAACCAGGGCAGAGTTCGCACTAGTTCGTACTTGGCGAGTCCCGGGCGAGTCGCCCATCCGCATCAGCCTCTGGGCGACCAATATGCGACAAATGCACCCAAACCTGCGCTGTCTGAGATTGACATGATTCCGGTCAAGCGGCACTTCCTGCTCATCGGGAGGGGTAAGAATCTCCTGAGCTGCCGGTGTCAGAACACTGCAATACACTGCAGATCCTGCGTGTGGAGTAGTGCAGCCTTTGCCGTAAGCCCTTATTGCCACGGCTCAACGAGATCCGGGTCTTGCAGATCAGCATCACTTCCGGCAAACACCTCACCTGCTGTCCAAAGGAGAACGACTGCGTTTTAGTGGCTCCGTTTGCAGTATGTGGAACCTCTTGCTCTGACGTGTTTCAGCATGATTTTCGCTGCTGTTCCGGCTTCTTTGGCAGGTCCAGCTTCCTGCTGTCAGTGGCGACTACACGATCCACATGCCAGCCCCAGGCCCCAGAAACACTAGTTCCACCCTGCCTCAGGCATGACATTCGGCTGGCTCGTCTTTCGATTGGAGTTTCTTCGTCGCGCTAGCATGGCTTCAATGCTTTTTCGGCGCATCTGTATGGACTGCATGGAAGGAGCATGTACAATAGGTGAACCTGAGAAGCGGCTCCTCAAGCACAAAGCGCACTGCGGCAACAGGCTGCGCAGGCTCACTGCGAACAAGTCTCTTTCAGGCGGCTCGTCACCGAAACTCGAAGAGGCATCTGAGGAGCCATCTTCTGCCTGTATCGTGCGACAGTGACAAAACTCACCGTTCTATGCAAATAGTCCGACCTGCTCTGCAATTTTGAGGTCTGCCAGGGTCCACCAGCATTTGAGGCTTCTGGCAAAATCAGTTGAGATAGTTGCGGACATCGTCGCTCAAAGTCGTAATCAAATCAGGAATGCACACACGCTGCTGGGTTCAGCTGCCTATACTGCTTCCTTGATCGCAGTGCCGTTCCCTGAGCACACGAAGTTCATGGCACGTTGGCCGGCCCCCATCGTTACAGCATCAAACTTCTGAGGATTGGGCTGGCCTGGAACCTGCGGTCAGACGCTGATCCGGCACCAATAGGCGAAAGATGTGACAGCAGCAGCACCTTCTCGCCTTTCGCACGCAATTCGTTTTGTGGCCCTGCCTTGCATTCGGCAACATGTGCTTGTGCATACAGCATACACGTGCGAGCCGTCGGGCTTGAACTCTTAGTGGGTGATCTTGCGTTCAATGGATCCCCGAAACTGGTCTTCAAATTCTCACATGCAGCCCTGCAACTGCACGACTCCGCGAAAAGTTGCTCGAAAGACAACGGAAGGTCATTGCCACCGGTCTTGGGCCTGTTGGCGCAACTGAGCAGTGAAATTTGCGCAATGGGCAGAATGGCATCATTTGGCTGTCTTGCGACATCTCAGATCACTGTGACCCAACGAGCCGAACCTGCTCCTTGAATAAAGGGAACCTGCAGATGTGCACTGTAACTTGCAAAGATTCTGAGAAACTTTGGCAGGTGAGAAGGGGACGGGGGCTATGCCAGTGCGAGGACTCGGTGGCAGTCCCTGGCCGACGAATGCCTCAAACGTGTCAAACGAAGCACTAAAAGACGGGACAGAACGAACCCAACGAGGCGTTCACTGGATCGGCTCCAACTCAAGCAGCTGCTTCCTGCAAAGCCTCACATCTGAGACCGGCCACTCAGCCGATCAACACATGGCAATCCCAATCTTGTTAGCAATCTTCAGATATAGTGCCACCCGAGCAGCTCATGATACTTCCATGCTGACTGTTCAACGCGCCGCATGACGCCTTTGTGCATTCGGGACGAATGCGCGAACTCCAGAATTTATTCACACGCCTACACAACATACTTTCATGCTGAGGTTCGCTGGCAGTTAGTGGTCTCTCATATCCGCAAGCATTGCCATCACAGCGGCGGCGACAATTTTCTCGGGTTTGCAATCCAGTGCCTGCTGACGAAGTTGCACATCCAAGTCTGCCGTGGAAAATCCGCCCTAATGAAGCAGCATGCTGCGCGGATCCACATGACAACTTGGGCATCATGCTATCCAGCATGACAACACAAACTTCGCAATGCAGCTCGTGGTCGGAACTTTTTGGAGAAGCAATCCTATCGACGCTTTGCTGTGCCGCAAGAGCATCGCACATGATGACGTATCCCCCGTGCAACAAATCTGGTGCAGACAAGTGGCTCGATATGTGCACCATGAAGCTCCATTCACGTGCTTTATCACATGTGTTTGTCTGCCTGGAATCGAGTTCTGCATCATGAAGCAAAACAGCGGTGTGGCAATTGTTCATGTCAAAACGGTTATTTGTCCGGCATGTTCAAAGTGATCTGCCTTGGCATGACATCTCGAGAAACCTACATCGAACTGCATCTACGCGGTGTCACCCAGCTGCAGTATGCAACATGCATGCGAACAAAAGTGGAACCATGCTTCGACATGCAAGCAAAGCTTTCAGACACAGTCGGAGGCCGGCTGGAAGACGTTGCCAACGGGAACTGAAACAGGTGGCAGACTTGTACGGGAGTCGGAAGTGGTTCCTAAAACCAGGATAAATCCAAGCCTCCCCGTGTCTAGGTTGCACAAGGGTGGCTGTTGTGTTTGAGTGTGACACAACCAAACATCAACAGCTTCGGACAAGTGCACTGAAAAGACAAATGTCTGAAACCGCAATTCTTCAAACACAATTGCAAGTCCATCAAAACACAGAGTTTTCAGAATCTAAAAATCCAATCTGACTAGTTGACCTACTCCAAACAGTAAAGTGGGTCTTGCACTTTTCCAACGATTCCAGTGCGGACGAGAAAAACAACACAATCTTCGTGCCACTGTGTGTAGGAAAAGGGGGACTTATGAACCAATTAATTTTGCTCCTATTTTGCGCTTCTCGCGCACCCCCGCAGCAGCTGGAGTGTCCCCCCACCTGGCCCGAAATCGACTTGCGCGAATTCCGCCGTTTTCGTGTCCAGTGCGCAGCCGTCCCACAGCCCCACAGCCGCCCCACAGCCGCCCCACAGCCGCCCCACAGCCGCCCTGCAGCCCCACAGCCGCCCCGCAGCCGCCCCCGTAGCCCCACAGCCGCCTCGCAGCCGCCCCGCAGCCCTGCCGCAGTTCCACAGCGACCAATTCTCATCGTGGAGCCAGGCCCCAGGATGATTGTAGAGCACCGGCAACAATTTGGCCTCGGTTGGCGGTCACCATGCACACGCAGTCCAGTCAGACAATTCGCAAGATGCCACAACAGCTTGGATTCTTTTGACTGCTCGCACTCGCCGGCAAGCTCCAGACCCAGCGTGTCGCCTGCGGACGTGCAACTGGGAAATGCAAAAAAAGTAGCGGCTGGCGCCTGAGCCCTTCATCCAGCGCAGAGGACCTCGCTGAGCCTGACACAAGTCCCGCGCAGGCCCGGAAAAACACATCGTGGCTTGAGAACTAGCTCAGAAAAGACTTGAACGGCTACGAGACTGCTACTGCGACGCGCAGAGATTCACGCGCAGAGAGTCGCACTTGCCTACTTTTTGCTCAGGCGCTTGCCGTTCTTTCAAAGCGGTCTCTGCGCCTGCAAAAACGTCCGCACTAAGACTACATGTAGCCTGCATCTTGCAGGGCCTTCTCGGTTTCACCCAGGACGTAGAAGACGAAGTACCAATGACGCAGAGCCGCGTCGCCCGCCAACATGCAGGACCTACCGTCCGAGCCGTCGCCGTCGTTTACGCCGTTGTTTGGCTCTGGGATAACATTTGTAACACGGCTCTGATTTGGGCCAACACGGCTCTAGCGTAGCATTTGGGGTAAAGCGGC